CGTTTGGTGTGATGGGGATTCAAACCCGCGACCCTCGGATTGTGAGTCGAGCGCCCTAACCACCTGGCCTGTTTGTCTTGGAGTTTGAAGTGTCAAAGCACAAAAATATCATTTATATTAGTTAATGAAAAACATGGAGAGATGTGCTAGATTTTTCAGTCAAGGTTAGAGTACATTTACAATCAAGGAATTACTTAAAAGGAGAATGTATAGTAAATAAACAGCATACACTGTTTAGTGTATGTAGTATTATTAATTTATTTATTTTGTGTTTGTAATTCATCGATGTCGAGGCTACAGAGATTTCTAGAAGGCCTAAGTGATAGACGTATAAATAATGGTGACCAGATGAGGTAAAACAGAGAGAAAAAGTAAATTCACATGAAAGAGAAGATCAGTCAGAGAAAAGTTAAACATAAAGGTAACCACTGTGGGAGTGAAAGATCTAACAGTTGATATATCAGAGTGAGATTAACAAAATTTTAAAAGAGATAAAAAGAATAAGTTGCCTTGTCAAAGGGTGTTATACAGTAATTTAACCCGCCTCAGTGGACTTTGACAAAATGCAGATGATTATTGGAAGTACAGGATACAACCACAGTAACTCAACGACAACTTAAGTGAACTATACACAAACGCTATTGCTTGTCAACTGAATTCTAATGCAATTGAATTGGCCTAAGTGGGCTTTTGACAAGAAGAAACATATATAACGTTTATGATACAACTAGGATATACATAGTGTAAAGAATTTTGTACATTCATTTAATTTGCTTTGAGTATATATAAGTATTATTTTAAAAACAATTGGAGCGTGTGCTGTTTGTCTGAATTGGCCGTGGGCATTTGACAAGAAGAGAACTGTATAGTGTTTAAGATACAACTATAATCTCCATAGTGTAAAGAATTTTGTACATACGTTTAACTTGTTTCGAATATATATATGTATATTATTTTAAAAACAAGTGGAGTGCACGCTGTTTGTTTATTGTCAAATTTATCACCAACAAGTCACAGATACCTATTGTAGAAGAATCCTTAGCCCAACACACCTATATTTAACTTACATAACTACATATTTCAAATAAATAGTAAGTTCCTGACAATATTCAATACATAGGGATAACTAGAAATGATAAAGCGGTGTACCTATTAGGTCTCTGTAAAAAAAACTACAAACATAAGAAATGAAGGCTGAAATACATACTTTGTTATGGGTAAAAAAAAGTAAAAGAAAAGGAAGTAAGCTGCAGATGTTCATCAGGAAATTCCCTTATTAATCTATTAACATTTTTGAGGGTGTTACATGTTGTCTGGATGATGATAGGGATAGAAACTTGGTGTGCTAAGTATTTAAAAAGCTTTGATAATATGCCACACAAAATTTTAGCTAAAAAGATACCTAATGTACTAAAGTCATAAACTTGTATTGAAAAATATTTTAATTTGTTTAAACATATCAGCAAAGTTTCACATAAAACCCAATCATCTGTACATGTCTCCTAAACAAAAATGTAATGTGTACATCAAAACAGCTTTAATTACTTCATGCAGATGGACTTTGTAATTGTATCCACTAATTTTGTAGGGAAACATGTTTTTATTAAATAAATTTTATTTAATATCAGCAATCGGTAACAAATATATAAATTATAATACACTGTATTTAACATTAATAATCTCAATACGGTTAGTGAATTAAGTACTAGGACACAGAATAACCACAAAAAGTACAAATTCCAAGTTATAACTTACAAGGAATAATAAAAAAGCTAGTACTAATTTAAATTACTAAACCGTGTTTTGTACATTATATGACACAACGTCACAAGATGCAGCAATATTTATTAATATTAATTATCACTGCTACCAGTAATAGTAGTATACTATTATTAACGTAACATTAATATATAAAATATTAATATATTATCTATATATATTACAATGAAATAGAATTGAAATTACCTATTTCCTTACAAACCGATATATAACGCTGATTTTACGAGAAATGTCAAGACAACAATATCTTAGTTATTACTTTTCACCAGACTTAAAATGTTTTTACAAGTTCTTGTAATTCGCTAATAAAAAATATGATATAGAGATACTAGCGCCGTCTAAGTGTTTATAAGTGTTGAATTCAGAAGACACTTTTGACACACCTATAAAAATTTATATGCCTTTGAAATGTTTGTTGAAAATAAAATGATTCAAATTTGTTTCTTTAGTTTTCCTTCACCCTCTGAGTTAATAGTAAATTTACTGACTTAAAATGCTAAAATCTGGAGGCCTATTCCCTGCAGTGCACAGAGTGTGAATAACTCATTATGTATCTTTGCGCTAAAACAAATAAAAGAAAAATTCGACTGTTTATTTTATTACCTGTCCCCAAGTGGCACAGCGGTATGTCTGCGGACTTACAACGCTAGAAACCGGGTTTCGATACACGTGGTGGCCATAGAACAAATAGCCCATTGTGTAGCTTTGTGCATAACTTAAAACAAACAATTTTATTACCTTTCTGCAATAGCAAACTGTCCCAGGTTATTTTATTATATTATCATAAATACTTTGTTTCAACAATATTATTGTTTTTATTTATTAACGCACTTTTACTTTTAAAGCCACAAAAGCAGATACAAAAAGACTGATGTTAAATTACTTTCTCTCCCTTCCCCCACTCCCGTAGTAATAAAATTTCAGTGAACAGTGACAAAATTTGGGACTGTAGCTAAATTATCATTCTTAGCCTTTTATAACTAGTATAGAATATATTGTTACGACAGCGGAAGTCAAGTGACGCTGGTAACATGTGATGACTTTCTAGAAGGATCATGAAGGCTCTAGTGTTTGCCTGACGCCCTCTATTTTAATATATAAGCCCGGCAAATAAAGGGAGACAATAATTGCAGATAGCAGATTGAAGAGAGATATAGAGACGGATAATCGAGTCAAGCCGCAAGTAAAGTGTGTAAATCATTGTGAATTATAGCGTGTGTTTAAGTTAAAGTGACTGTGGAAATTCTGTGTATTGCAAAGTTGTATTGAGGAAGAATAAACTAGTTTTATTTAAGAAAGGAGTTGTATCGCTGAAGTTCCTCGGGAAGAATTTTTACGGGAAATTAACAAATGACCAAAGACATAACAAATTGGGATTGAAAAGAAAAAGAAGATGGAAACGAAAAGTGGCAAATCAAACTACAGCTTAGCAGATTTGATGGCAGCAATACAAGAACAGGAAAAGAAACAAGAAGAACGGGAAAATAAACAATAAAAGAAACAAAAAGAATGAGAAAAAAAACAAGAAGAAGAGAGATTACAGCAGTTGTTGGAGGAAAAAGAAAGACCCAACAGCTAAACATAAAATGGCAAGTGCACATAGTGTCTACGTGACAGGAAAGCTGGATGGCCAAAGGTACAATTTTGTCATAGATTCTGCATCTAAGCAAACCCTTGTGAGTTAGAAGATGCTAGATCACAAAGGAGCACCAGAAGCCATACAGAAGCTCTGTGGTGTGACAGGACATTATGCAAGGTTGTTGGGACCAGTGTGGGTAACTATC